GTGGTATTTTTGTAGTCTGTGCAAATCTATGCTAATGTTCCTGTTTTAAGTGGAGAGGAACATATTCGGTGCACTCAGTGCAAAGCTTGCTTAATAGCTTTTTATTTTTTGGTTGGAGAAATCAACTGGGATGCCTCCTAAACTTCATAGTATTGATTCTTATTCAGCATTTAAACTGATGGGTGAAAATTTAGCTTTGCAAGAGAAACCTCTAGTACTGTACTCCACACGTTTTTGCAATCAGTAAGTAGGCAGATAAAGTTCTTTCTATGCCACTTAGCACAATTTGAAATTATCAGCAAGTTAAGTATATTCAACTGCTTATCTACAGAGAGGCATGTAGGACTCCAATTAAGTTTACACGGATAAATGGAGATTTGTGTTTGCAGACGTCAAGATGACAGAAGCTTAATACTGTAAAAAGGCTAATCAACACTGAATATGTTTAGTGTCAGTAAATATTTACAGTGAAAACATTGCCTATGGCTTGTGCCTTGGCATTCCAAGGTCTGCTTTCTAGTGAGTAAAAATGTGGTGTGATATCCTGCTCATAAACCTGCTATGGGATTTTTGTTTTCTATAAAATTAGTTTTATTGTCTTTTTCTTCTTCGTGTTTTCTTGGGAAGGCAGGTTAGGACTTAGGCTACAGTTTGTAAGTTAATGAAAAGTCTGGTATATTTAGCAAGGTTTTAAGACAGATGTAATCCAGAGAGTGAGGAATGGAAGGAGGCAAGATAGAGACAGGCAGTATGTGGAGTAATTTCTTCTGATTATAATTCTATTTATTTTTTAATGAGGCATTCTTCAAATAGTGGTTACTAATCAGCTCTGCTGAACAATGTAATTATTTAGTGTACTCGTGTTCATTAGACAATAACTACAGTTTAACTGGAAAATTAGTGTAACCTCAGGAATACTTAAGTTTTATATATAAAACATACAAGTATAAACACTTTTTAAAAATTCATTAGGTCTCCAGAAGTTAAATGCTAGTCTGCTCTCTTTTACAAATGTATTTGTGGAAAATAACTTGTCAAAATTGAAATCCGAGTAGTACACTGTAAATTGAGCTTCTACTGATGTAACACTGTGTGAAGAATACAGCCAAGTGAAATAAAAAGCCAGAGGTACGAGGAACATTGATTATTATTTTTTATTATATTTGGACTTAGAGAAAAGAAGAGTATAACTGTAACTGCAGTTCTGCATCAGTGTAAAACAGTGTAAAAAATGATGTTGATGTGAAATTTTGTTTTCTGGGGGGGAAATAAATTGATATAGTTTAGGATTTTGTTTGTTTGTTGAAAATGTCATGGCTTGTCAGGTTAACAAATGTGATTTTGTACCTGGCAGACTGCAGGACCTGGTCAAGAAAAATTCCCTGAAAACCACTGCAACGTAAATACAGTATACTTCAGTTTAGTGCCTAACTTTGCATGAAATAAGCCCTGCCTGTTAGCATGTGTTTGATCCTGTGAGAGAGTGGGGCTAATGTCTGGCCAGTGTTTTGGAAGCAGCAGGTAGTCAGGAGCAAGCTGCTCTAGGGGTCCATATTTCTGTGGCCCTGCAGTTACTCACACACAGATGGAGACCTTGTGAACTTTGACAGAGGTCATGCTAAATTGCAAATCTTAAACTTCTAGACTTCTGAAGGATTACACTGGTACTCTTTTTTTATTATTTTTAAAGCCATATGACTGGGAACATCACTAAAGGTATCAACTTGGGTTTGAGATGTAGATCAACCACGCAGTCATCGCTCACACAAAGATTGTGGGGACTGGTGAAAATAGCCTTTCTTGATATTTTAATGGAAAACTGTTGCTTATTAGATTTTAATTTGCATATGTAAAATACATGTGTTATATTACTTCCCAAACACCTAGGCTTGTCTGCTCTGTTGAACTTGTTAAAGGCATTTTGGACCTTAAAACATTGCAGAAGCTTCTGTTTTTTCTGCTGCGCATGAGTTGGAAATAATTAAGATAGTCAAAGTATTTTTTTGATTTCAGGTCTTTTGGGGCAGTCAGTTGAGACACCAAGCTCTGTCATCCGTCATCAGCCATCATCTCACTAGGGATCTTACAGCGTTTTAGGAAAGGAAAACATGAGATGATCTGGTTACACCCTATAGCGTGTTTAAAGCCTGGATTCAAAGTCAGGGTGCATTGAAGAGCTCCTCTTTGTCTTCTGGTTATAGTCCTGAAGCTGTACTTAATAGATTAAAATCTCTGTGATATTTCAATTTACTATTCAAATGGGAAATTTTGGGTGGATTCTGTAGCAGCCAGAGAAAGACTTGATTTGTTTCCAAGTTATAGTCATTTAGCAGAAGACTTAAAAAAATTTTTTTGCTTAGTGGAGATGCAATGTGAGTTTCATTCAGTGTTTATGAAATCAGGGTCCATGCATGGCTATATAGGTCACAGGCAGCAAGGAGGCTGATCCTCTTGTAATCAAACGCTCACATTTTTATCTTGTCATCATTGTACTGGTTGTGTAATGTGCTACTTAATGGCTCATGGACTTGCCTCTAAAGCTATGACTTCATGATTCAATGAGACTGAGTCTGACTCTGGGTGTTGAAAGTGGTTTCAGTAACGGCCACACAAAGAGCTTGAAAATTCACACCAGCAGCTGACTGTAGGGGGAAAAAAGCTTTGAAACTGTTTGAACCGGCCTGCATATAAAATAACAAGAGTGTTATTCATGCTTCTAAACTGGAAAAACACAAAGGGAAAAGAAGTAGGAGTGCAAAAGAATCTCCTTCTTGTAGCTGCAGCAATTCTCAAACGCTGAACTGCTGGTGTTTTTGCTTTGGAGAGATCTCGATAGAGGAAAAAAATCCAAATAGCTTAACTTACAGTTGAGGGACCTGAGTTTACAATGAGTTCTTACTCATGTTATTTTAAACTAGAGCTATTAGAAAAAATGTGCAAATAACTTTGAGTCATGTCATCACTGTATTTATCATAATAACTTATAAGTAAACATATCTAAAAGCTGAAGTTCAGAATCTTGTGCTTTACAAAAGATATGGATACACAGACAATTTTTTACAAGATATACTGTTTTGTGATGCACTCTGTGGTACACGTAACACCAAAGTTCATGTGGCCTGGAAAATGCAATGTGATTTGGAGTTGCCTGTCCCTCTGACACTGAAAGGAAAGAATTTGAATGACTTTGTATTTCCTGAAGGGTGAGAATGTGCACAGCTGAGGTTGGATAACCCCTTTCCTATAGCTGCTTCCTCATTTACCCATATCTGGAATGGATGCAACAGTTTATGTTCCTGAATTGCACATTTATTTCAGCTTCTCTTAAGAGATATTAATGTTTATGAGGCAGTGTTATTCTGTGTAGTCACATTGGGTTTGGACTGTGGTGGCTTTTCAGATTTTCTGTTACAATCTTTTTCCACAATTGAAAAGAATTGAGATAAAGGTGGTGTTTTCCTCTTATCTGCGGAATCTTTAACTTTCCTTTCCAGAGATGGTCTGTGAGCTACTCTCAAAAGAGAAAGTATCTCTGGCAGTAACCAGAAGATAATTTAAATAATCTGGGGATTTTTTTCTTAGAGTTTTTTTTTTGTACCTCCTTTCCTCTCCCACCTCCTATAAAGACGTATTTGTACTTTATATTTCAGTGAAGTGGCTTTTAATGACCACCATATTTAGTGCTAAACTGCAAGTAATTCTGGCAAAGTGCAGCTTAGCATTAAGCTATTTAGATACCCAGTGCTGTTAAATTCAAAGAAAAATAAAGCTTGAAGGATTTCGGAGAGTCATCTAGTCCCACTGCCTGAATTAAGGTACACCAACTACATCTGCGTCCTGACAGATGTTTATCTAACCCATTTTTAAACACTTTCACTGACTCCAGATCTTTCCCTGGGCAATCTCTTTTTCCAGTGTTAACTACCCTTAGTACCTATCTTGTGCTGACATGGACTCCTGATTATGTTCTTTCCAGCCTATGCTGGAAATGGGATATGGTTTATTCCTTTCCTCTGAGAAAACAAATTAATCTTTTACTCATGTGTGAGGAAGGGGCAAAGGACATACGGTTTCATATGCAAGTACTGGACTAACACTGGCAGCATCCTTTGAACCGTGTAGCTTTAGATTGGATTTGTTAGAAGTTGTCTGTCTTTGTTGGCACAAACAGCAGGGAAAAAGAAAAGAATGAAAAATACAGAAAGAACCCAGGAGTCAGGCTGAGAAGTAGAATGAAAGGAAATGAAGAAGTTCAGAAAATAAATATAATATTCAAAGAAATTAAAAGACAAAAGTGGCTATAAGGGCTCTATGATAAGTAATTTTCTAATTAAAGGATTTTTTGGGGTCTGTGTGCCTAGCAGGGTCATGGGATGGCGCTAAAGGGGGAACAGGGCATTCCATAAAAGAGTTGGCCAGGCAAGGTTGGATGAAGTTTTATATGGAGCAAGCAAAAGGTTTCTTTGTTTCCTGAGTTCCACAGGAGTCTCTTATGACTTGCACATGCTAAAAATGTTAAAATTGTATATGCGATTAAAAATTTTACTGTCCTTCCTTGCCGTGATGGAGGTGTGACATGGCACGTATCTTCCACAGGAGAGCGTGTAAGGTGGCAGGATGACAAGGTGGGCCAGGGTTCACTGGAGTTGAGCTGGTACTTACGGTCATGACTGATCTGTCAATTCAAAGAGGTGACTCTGGTCTTATCTACATTTACTAGGCTTGAACGAAAAGCCTCTTGGTTGTCTTTGCTGTCATTGACTTAACAAGGTGTTTGAATTAGGCTTGGTGAGGTGAAAATTTGGAAAGTTTACTCCTTAATTAAACTGTGTTTAAGGAGTGGAACGTAACTGGTAAATCTGTCTTAATTGCATCAGTAGTGCGGTCTGCAGGTTATGAACAAGTACCAAGATAAGAGCTCATATTTTTACAAGATGTTTTGTAGTGTAATTTGGGATTAGTATGTTTACCTGATTTTTGTATTGATGTTTTGTTTTTAGGTGTGGCTCACAATATTTCTTTACTGCGAGAAGTGATCATCCATCCACGCTTTGTTCAAGGAGACATCAGCACTAAATTCCTTCCTGAAGTCTATCCTGATGGTTTTAAAGGTTTGTTCCACTTGGGAATGTTTCATGTTTCTGTTTTTTTTTTTTTTATCTTGAGTGGTGCTGTTTCTGATTATTTTTCCTTTATATTTATAGTGACATGTTCCCCAGTCTTTACTTTTTTTTCTTCAAATGTATCTGTGCATACACACAATTAGTGTTTTTAAATAATGCATAATATAATCAAAACAATTAGTTTCTTTGCTTTCAAGAAGACAAAATAGATACTTTGAGTAACAAAATAGTAAATGAAGTACACCCAAAGTCAAGAAAACAAATTTGTAGGTGAATGAAATATGTAAAATAAGCATAAATTTAACTCTGCCATGCTATTGTGCTTTATTATAGACAGTGCTCCTACTGTTAACTGAGGATAAGATTGAAATTATTAACTCATATACTACCAGGTTATCAGAAAGACAAATGTTTCTTGTGACATCTGAAACAGCTCAGTTTCAAAAACATGTAACAACAGTTTGTAGAGAAATGTAAGTAAACAAATAGGTTGGTTCCCTTTCGTAAAGAACAAATTTTAAAAGGTTGCCTTCTTTCTCAGCCAATCTGCTGTAGATGCTTTCTTTACCTGTGTGGTCAGAGACTCGGTCCTTCCATACAGGCCTCATACCTCAGCTGTCATTCACCAGGCAGAACCTCTTTGGTTTAAAAAAAAAAAAAAAAAGGAAGAAATAAAAAAGACAGTATTTATAGCTCATCATTCATGGGTCCTTTATGAATCCCATGGAGATTCCTTTTCCTCCACTCATCATTAATCCAGTGTGGCAGAACCTCCATCCTCTTTTGGAGGCAGCGCTGCCAGATTGGCAGTCAGACGACATGGCTGGCACCTTGCCACATTGTAGTCTCATTAAGGAGCAGAACAGATTTTTCTTACCTCAAGACTCAGTGTGTGAGTTTGGTGCAAAGCATATTCATCTGCAGAACCGCTTTATACCGTGACGCAATTGGCAGCTTTGTGCGATACAGCCCTACACGTGGGATTAATGCGTCCAGCTTGTTACTGGCTCCTGACTGCAACCAAAGCAATAGGAGTTTGTCACCTTGGGTGACAGCAAGCTTGTGGTGGTTGAGGCTCAAATGTTCATTTGTCTTCTTTGCTAAGGTGTGCTTAACTAATCTTCAGGTAACTCAGCTGGCTTTCATCCAGCATAGATTAGCTGGTCTGTCTCCCTTCCCTGACATTTTCAGATGAAATCCCATGTCCTGTCTCTTTGACTGTTCTGGGACTATTTCCTGAGTGGATTCTGTTCCCTAAACCACCAGAAAACTGCAATTTTTGTAATTTTATTGTTAGTTTTTGAGAGTTCTTGGGTTGACTTAGCTTGTAAAGGAATCTGGTGAACTGCAACAGATGTGCAAAGTGTGTGGCAGGCTAGGAATGGGGAGAAGAGAGTGGAGGAGAAAGGCAAGGATGCAGGATGTTAGATAGGTTTGTACCATGTTGTGAAAAGGCAGCGTCACCTGAGAGACAACTGAGAACAATAGAAACATGAACTGTTCTACCCTTATTTGTGATAATGTGTCTGCTGGGGCCCTTGGTCACTTGTGAGAAGCTGGGACACATTTTGCTGACCCAGGAGAAGACTACTTGCTCTGGATTTTTGACTAGGGAAAGGCACTCTTGTCTTTTGTTCTTTTATTCTTGTTTTAATGTTTTGCGTTGTGATGCCAATCTGTTTATAATCAATTACTTGTTGCTCCACAAATTGCAGGATGATAAGAAATTGGGATGATCTGACTTGAATTGTATATGTACTTTATTTGTGTGCATATGCACACTGATGCAAATGGCTGATTAGTGTCGCAGTCTCAGGTAAACAGTAATACTGTATTAATAGAGTCTTAAAGATAAGCTTTTGCTCTAGACACTAGAAGACACAAGAAGAGATATCATGACAGTTCGTACTAGAAGCTAATGAATGGGACACATGAAATAACTAGACTTTGTTCCTGCTGTATGAAAAGTCTCATTCTTCTTCTTCCGCGTATCAAATACAAACATGCATTAGCCTTGTTAATGATAAAAAATGCAGATATCATTTACTACAAAGCATTTGTATTTCAAGTCAAGAGTACTTATTCACAAATACTGATTCAAAGCTCACTGAAATAATTGAGAGCCCTTTTAATGATGTAGTTTGCTCTGCATCAGACCCTTCTGGCTTAAAAAAAAAAGTTGGTGAGCTGAATTAGAGGATAGTTTTTAAAGTACTTACTGAAAATTATTTCTGCAAATGCAAAGACTTTAATGAGAACTGTTGAAGGCAAGCACGGGTGGTGGGCAGATGATGGGTAGAAGGTCAGCAAGAGAAACAAAGGCAAATTAACTTATGCAATACAGGATCCTACTCACTTCAACTAACCTTTTTATATAAATATACAGGGTAAACTTTGCTAGAAGGATTTGAAAATTAAGTAACTTCATATATCTTAATATTGTTGATACAAGATATATAGCTGGAAAAAAAAACAACAAAAAAACAAAAAAACCAAAATCTGGGATAGTCTGAAAACTTAGAGCAATGTGTTGCCAAAGTGGATTTGGAAATACCTAGAAATGTGTGCTGTTGTTAACAGTAAAAATCCATACCAGAAGCATTTTAAATTTGGATAACTTAAGAAAAAATTTCAATGAAGATGTGTGCTATATTAATGCTTGAGCACAATCCTGTGTGTGTGTCTTGCAAACTACACAATTGCCTCTGTTGGTCTACGTTGATGGTAAGCAATGAATGTCAGCTGTGTTGTTCCTGGGGTCTGGATGAAGTACTGGCCTATTTCTTATGTGCATTTTTATTCAAATATAAATATTAATTTTAGTCCTACTTAAGAGTAAAATAAGAGATGCTTTGTTTTCCAGTCTAATTTTCAAGGGTTTCATTATAAGTCCTTTATTAGAAGTCTTTTACCATAAGTTAGGAAAGAATTAATTAGAAATATCTTGGGAGCTTTTCCATTAACCTGTGATGCCCATTTCAAATTACATCGAGAATGGGAATGTTGAGTAATTGTCATGATTGGGGTTTAACTCTTTCTTCCCTTCTTTAAATAAGCATTCATTAACAAACTGTCTATTGCAGGTTATTTTAAGATGTTGCTGTGCTAAAGCTGAGTGTGCTCAGGGTGTGATTAGTGTGGGAAAGCAGCTGCTGTCATACCCTCCTGTTGTCTATGGGAGGGGTGGATGGCCTGGATGCCGGCTGGCAGTGGGTCAGCTGGAGTGGGTGATTGCTCTGAGCACGCATGTTTTGGGAGGAGTGCTGATCTGAGGGTGGGTCCAGCAACACTGATTACATCAGATGATACAGATACATCTGTCTGAGAGCGGCCCCCACTTTGTTTGCATAATAAAAATGTTTGCTAAGTGTGGAGGAGTAGCCCGTATGATCAGATACTGTCAGAGGAGCTGTCCTTCAGCTTCCAAGCAGTGTGGGATGCTTCTGTACTTCCTAACCTCCTGGTGAGGAAGAAATATATTATCTATTATCACTGTTTTACAGACAAATTATTTATATTTTCTCAAAGATCTAAGAGGAATCTTTGACAAAGAGCAAATAAAACTCAAGGATCCTTAGGTTAGTACCCTATCCATTGGGGCGTTCTTTGTGGTTCAGTCTGTTTCACAGTGAATCAATCTTTTCCTGGATATCTGTTTGAATTCTGAAATTTCTTTGTTTTTAATTGTCTACTCTTCCTGGTTATTAAATGACATCTCAAATGCTTGGTTAGTCTCTTTGGAAGAGACATCCTGTGCAAATGAGAAATGAGTATTTTCCGAAATATTATTACCGAAGTCATACCAAAACACGGGGGGAAAAGGAAAAAGAATCCTTTACTTGCCCCTCTTTTAGCCTGTTTACCTTGTTTGCGTGGAAGGGAAGAGCAGAATTTCTGATGGACAGTCCTATGTTATCTGATTTCTAATGCAAAAGGGAAGAAAGAGAAAATGCTTCTCTTTCCTGCAGTTGTGTGCTGGCTCCAGAGAATATGTCTGAGGTGGAGGCTTTTAGATACATTTTCATTGTTATTATTGTATGAGTTGAAGGGTTTGATTACTCTGCTCTACCCAACACTAATTATACCATCTCTGGAATACCGTGTCCCGTTCTAACCTCCTGATGCGCTTAAGAAATAAGTCAATAAACTTTGGTAAGTCTAGAAGACCCACCAAGGTTGTGGGGTTGGAGCAGGGGACCTATAAGGAGAGACTGAGAGAATCAGACTTGTTTAGCCTGGAAACAGGAAAGCTTAAGGTAGACCTCATGGCAGCCTTCTTGTGCCTTCTGAGGGGGGTTCCCAAGAAGACAGAGCCAGGCTCTTCGGTGAGGTATGCATAAACTGGAGTTTTTCAAGACCTGACTGCACAAATCTCTGAGCAACCTGGTCTGAACTTGATGTTGAGATGGGTGTGGCTCAGTGGAGAGGGGTGTCCACACTGAATAAACTAAAGACCTCTCAAAGTCCTTTCAACCTCAGTCATTCCATGGTTCTGCTATGAATGAAAGTGCTTTTTAGGTGAATTGGGACTGTAGATAAGACTTCTGTTATTAGTTGGAGAGGAATAATGCAGCTTCCCTTGTGTTACTGTTAGAAGGGTGGTTGCTGTTAATTCCATTAGTCTTCTCCACACTGGAATCTAGTATTTGTCTTCATTTTATGAAGCTACTGGATTAGAAAAATTGACTTAACAAATAGCTTGCTTGACTTTCTTCTTTCTGACAGGTGAAGCCAAGAAACATTTCTTGGTCTGTCACTAATCCCTTTATAATTCAAAACAGTAGAAGTTTCCTTTCTGTATGCTGTAGCATCCAACTTATAAGTGATCATGAACTCTCTGAGACATCCTCACTATTCTGAGCGGTTTGAGATGGCATACACAGTTAATATTGTCTGTCTTTGACCATGTCGGTGGACCAAAGCTCTGCTGGTCTTGAAAAGAAATTAAAAACTTTAATAAATATGCAGCTTTGTTTTCTGCTTCAGCCTACTTGGTATACTTGCCATCTGGAATGGCCAACTTCAAAATCCATTGGGGAAAAACTTAATCCGAAACAAAACCTAGGAATGATATAAACATTGCCTGCATTGATGTGGATCTGAATTATGCATTGTACTTTCTTACTGATTTTACTTTTAATTTTTATTCTCCCCTATCAGAAAACAGTCACTTTTCAAGTGTTGAGTAACAGACCCAGGCACATAAAACCAGGGCTTGTTTGGTTGTGGGGTTTTTTTTCTTTTCTCTCTGTAATTGATAAAGGGAAACACATTTCTAGGACAGAATGCAAATGAGACTGAATGAGAGTGTTATGGGAAAAATGACCTTTTATGTAATTTAATTTGAAGTTGGTTATGTAAAGTAATTGCATGAACCTTTTTGACTCAGCTTGGGGGATACTGGGATAATATTGATTTAAGCAATCATAACATCAGGGAAATGAGAGAGAAATACTTTTTTCTTGTCTTTCTTCTGACCAGGGTTCTGTCATTTAGTAGTAATAGATGTGTGCGGTCTAGTTTTAAATAATATGAACCACAGCGCTTCCACTCCTTCAGTTGTGACTTAATTTTATAGCCATTAATCCTGTTTTACGTTCACCTTATATAATTCAATTCGGTGATGCTAGTGAGAATGCAGAAGTATATCCCAGGTTGAGCAGAGATATCTGGGAGCTGATTTACATTTTGTGGTGGAGGTGAAGTCTCCGTGTAGCCCAGGAGTCTGCAGTGATGAGGGTAGGAAAAGAGCAATGACAGGACTTACCATGCTGGAAGCTGGGCAACCTTTGCTGCTTACTGGTTTCGCTCCCTATCAAGGCAGCACTTGGACAAATGCCCCAGAGGTAGCTTTGCTACTTTTCAGATCGATCTTCTGCATGGTGAACATGAAAGGCTGCGTTATTATCGTTATTGATAGTGAATGTTAACTTAAACCTCAAGACATCCAGTTGAAATCCTGAGGAGCAGCTTGTAAGGTAAAATAAGACTTGAAGTGAAACAAAGGTATTGCTATCTGGTACATTTGTATATTTCTAAATATAGTAATGTAATTGAAAGTTTAACTTTAAATTTGCTTAAATTCTGCTGAGCGTAGCAGCAGAGCAAGAGCAGTAGGCAAGGGAAATGGGACTGGAGTTCAGAGAACCAAGGCAGTCTGTCTTGAATAATAACGGTAAATTGCCATCCTTAGGAAGCAGCCTTCAATCAGGCGTCTGAGGTAAGCCTCCAAAGTTAGGCTAAGGACATTCTGTGGTAGGATTGTATCTTTATTGCAAAGTACCAAAACCTAATTTTGGTGTGTTCTTCTTAACAGTATATATTATCTCTGAGACTTAAGAAAATAAATGCAAATTGCCCACATTGGATACTATGGTCATGACTGGTTTTCTGCTTGCTACCTCTGTGCCACAACTAATGCAAATAGTGACAAATGGAGAAAGTGGATAAACATTCTTTTCCTGTTTGTGATAATGAAGAGGTGAATGTAACTCTTGATTGGTTGTTAACCTGTTTAAATTATTGACCTTTGTTCGCTGTTTGGAGTTTGATTTTTATTGAAGGTACAGGAAGAAAATAGTTTTTGCAGGACAGCAAGTGCAAAAGCAGTTACTGATTTCATCCAAGATGAAGGTCATGCAATAAAAACATCAAATTGGGATCTTTCTAGTTTTACCTTGCTCCTTTATATGAATTGGTAGTACCAGTGTGCATTGGACCAGGTGGGAACTTGCACTTTTGGTTACACTGACTTGTCATGGGTATTGGGCAGGGTGGCTGGAAAGCAAGGGTTTTAGGATGGATTTCCTGGTGTATCTTTAGCTGAGACATGTAAACAAATTACCAATTTTAGATACAACATTTTGGAAAAATGATCTCAGATCTCCCTCCCGAGGTGCAAACAACTGGGATGTTGGTGCATTTCAAAGCCAGGTAGTTGGTGTTATTGTATTGTATAATTATATAAGGCTTGTATATACACATACGTGTGTTTGTATATATACACAAATAGTACAAAAGTTCAGCATTTTTTCACTTTTTGCCTTGCTATCAGTTTTTCTAGTAACTGGCCAAAGGAAGATCGAGTTTGTTTCTCAAGCCAATTCCTCAACCTTTCAACATTTGTATTTCTGCGTATGTTTGTGGAAGGCAGTTTCCATTTCAAGGCAGATAAAAAATAATAAACACTGAGCAAAGGAAGTTGCAGTAATCTTTAGCCAGAATATGTTAATAAGGACTAAATTAAAAATCAATTGATGCAGATTTACTGGCTTTTGTTATTTTTAAATTTACATTTTTTGGCCTGTGACAGTTCCTTTGTACTGTTAGCTGGAACTGTAATGAGTGTGTCTCCATTGCTGTGGCATGATTGCATTGCTGAGGCAGACTCTATGCAGCCTCTTTATCCATACTTAATGTGCCCAGTGAAAGGATGGGTCCTGTGCAGAAGACATCCTGCTTGGAAATTGTGCACTTGTTACTCTCAAGTCTGCTCCAGTCCTTTGCAGAGGTCTCCATTCTGGGTTTTCTTGAGGATTGCATTAGTCTTATGCTTCTGATAGAAATGGTAACTTGCTGTTACTGAGGAATGTGAGTTAACATTACATACAGTAGTGCTGAGGGGATGGAAGTGTGGAGGTGTAGGAGGGAACGGTGTAACTCTTTCTCTGCTGCAGGACTGGAAGCAAGTGTGCCCCAGTGGGTAGAGTTGCTCAGGCAAATGCAGTCTTATGAACCCCTTCCCCATCTCTTCCTCCATCCCTTCATGTGACTCTGTACTTGCCATGGATGATGGCATTTGCTCTGATACGTACATGTGAAGGTCTGCTGAGGCAGACAGCAGCTGCATAAAGCACTTTGAGAGCTCTGTTGTAACTGGTTTCAGCTGAATCTTTCAGTCTTACCTTTCTATTTTTTTTAAACTTTATTTGTTGCCTTTTCCTTTCCTCTAGCTTTTGAAACACTTAGAATCATAGAATCATTTGTTTGGAAAAGACCTATAAGATCAAGTCCAAGCTGTCCACCACTAAACCATGTCCCTAAGTACCACATCTACCTGTCTTGAACGCCTCCAGGGATGGTGGCTCAGCCACTTCCCTGGGCAGCCTGTTCCAGTGCCTGATGACCCCTTCAGTGAAGAAAGTTTTCCTAATATCCAATCTAACCCTCCCGTGGCACAACTTGAGGCCGTTTCCCCTTGTCCTATCACTAGTTACATGGGAGAAGAGAGCAACCCCCACCTCCCTACAACCTCCTTGCAGGTACTTGTAGAGATTGATAAGGTCTCCCTTAAGAGAGCAATAGTTGTAGAGAGCAGTAAGTTCTGTCACTGTGCTCTGTCTTTAGCCTGCTGAATGGACAATTGAATTTCTAATTAACTTCACTTTCTGGAACAAGATCAGTTTTGGAGAAAACGTCCTTCTAGTTGGCCTGGTTTCCACCTCTTTGTCCAAACCTTTTTTAGCTTGCCTGCCTTCAGACTGTGGGCTACTTTGAGCCATTTTTCTGCTTATGAAGTGCCAGACATGACTTTGACTCAATTAATCACAAACTAATGACTACACAAATGACAGTAAATAACCCAGGGCTGACGAGTAGTTTTATCTACATTTATTTCTGGGATTTATGTTGTTGTGTTATCCCTTTTGCCTGGAAGATGTGTAGCCTTTGCAAGGTAAAGTACTGAGAAAGAATGCGGTATATTTTGAGTAAGTTCTAAGGTACAGATGGATTCCTTACCAGCATGAGGCACAATATGTCAACCAGTGACATTTCAGTAACGAAAACAAGATGCTGCAGCATCGTTTCTTTTTTTTTTTCTTTCAGTTGTCAAATTGTTTTTAACAGAGATACTACTGTTAGCAGTAGGGCTGGTCTGTATGAAAACACGCAATTTAAACTCTGAAACTCGGAGCGTCTCTTATGCTGAGCTTCATCTTAATTTAGAGGGAAAAATGTCGGTTTCGTGTGTAAGGACTGAATAGGGTCCTCACTGGTAGTTGTTACTTTTTGTCTGTGTTGTTCTCTAGTGTCTAATTTTTTTTAACTGCTTATTGCAAACTAGGACACACGTTGACAGATCTTGAAAGGAGAGAACTACTGGCAACAGCAGCATCTTTGTACGTGGCTGAACAACTGAGATCGCAGAGATTTCTAGGGACTCCAAGGTAAGTTCATTTCTAGGAACTCGGATGTGCTGATGTGTTTTGTTAATGGCATCTTCTCATGCACGAGAGACACTGGTGAGAAACTGCATGGTTTCTTAATATAGTCTGTTTTTTCTAAATTCAAATGAGCTGTGGCTTACATTTCCCTACTCAGACAAGTCATACATGATTATTTTTATTCTACGTATTAGCAAACTAATAGGCACAAAAATGTGTTACAAGCCAGTACAGTAATTAATGCACATCAGGAGTTTCATTAATGCAAAATGTTGCTGCATTAGTAACTAACCACAAATTGAGCATCACAAATTTCCCATGTGCCCATTTTGAAGCGATCTAAGCACTTTGAGATAATATGAATGTTCAGCTACAGAGCTTTAAAATACTGTGGATTCATGAGTAATTTGCTACCTTGATGAAGAACTTTAATAGTTTAGGGTCTAACTCTGAGAACCCTTTCTGACTGGTAAGTGCTGGAAGAGTCAGCACCTTATCTTAAGTATGTTTTTTGGTGCTTTGAGTGGTCCCTCAATCTTTTGGGTAGTAGCTCTAGTAACCTAGGTAGTACTTGGTTATTTGGCTAACCATTGCAGTACCTTGTGTCAGAACACTAATTCACTGCTTTGGCTTTTTGGAACAGCGTGCTCTTTTCATCTGGGATGTTTCTAGCTTTTATTGTCCTCTGGCCCATCATTGTCAACACTTTGAGACCTGTTATGACAATTGAATATGTGAACCTTGCTCGGGTAGTCGGTGTTTGCAACAGCTGCGTACAGTGAATCCTAACTTCAGCGTCACTCTTCTTTACTCACATCTTTAATGTAGTTGCATGTTTGTGTGAGAGAGGGGGAAGTCAGAATGCAGGGTAGACATTATTTACATTCTATGCCAGTGGTTTGACAGTATATTCTATTACTGATTTTACAGTGGTCAGGAATAAATCAACTGTGGTTTCAAGAAGTCTTTATTTTTATTTGTACCCACAAAGATAAATAGTACCATATGGTGCTAAAAAAAAACCACACAGGAGGGGAAAAAAAGAGAGACACTTAGAGCAAGCATAATGACTTTGTAATATAGAGCATATGTAGGGCTATTGCTTGCATTATGCACCTATGTGGAAAAGTAAAGCACCTTCTTATTTCCTTCCACAACTTATGTCCTCCATAGCAAATGGCATAAGGAGAACAGACACTCTAAGGCCACTGATCTCTAAATAAAAGATGAATGAAAGAAAATGAGGAGGAGCCTTGATTGTAGTTTTTATTGGCCAGCATAGGAAGTTAAGGAGTCTGGTACTGCTATAGAGAAGTAATGGATTACTTTGCACATGGAGTAAGGATAGGAATTGTTGAGTGAAGTTGTGATTCTCAAACTGCTTTTGCATTCCCTGCTCCAATTTGAGATATTTTTTTTCTATGGCCTGGAAGATGTTCTTACTTGCTAACAAGAAAAGAAAAATGCTCCAATTGTTGAAGACTCTTTTAATGTTTTCTTTCTATTGCAAGTATTTTCTTTCAGTACTGGGTATTTATGTATCTGAATAAAAAAAGACATGTACAACTATTTTAACCAAGATGTCAAATATGTAAACAAAGTATTGCATTGAGCAGTCAGGCGTGATCATTCATCTCTCTTGTGCTACATCGGGGAAACAAATACACTCCTGATTTGAGAGATAAAGAAAGCAAAAAAAAAAAAAAAGAGCTTATATTTTTTTGAGTCCTTCTAACCTAACTTCCTCCATTCCAACATGAGCAGAGAAGGCAGCAAAATCTGATCACATGCAGTTTGTGCTCGGTAAGACTAGATTAAGGTCTGATTTATTTTTTTTTTCAGAATTTAAATGGTGAAGCTGACAAGTCTTTCCAGTCCAGGGAAGCTCACTTTCTCTTGCCGTGATTGGGTGTACCTGCGTTCAGCTCAGCTTTCAAAGGATGATTTTTTTTTTTCTGTCTGTTGTGACATATGCAGCTCTGAAATTAATCCTTTAGAAGTTAAGCCTTAAAATTTTCTCTAACTGGCATCTCAGTGTGATTCTTAGTGAATAGGTTGTTGTTTTAATCCACATATGTTGTTAGATCTACTTGTCTTAGTGATAGTAAATCTGCCTGTTTGAGGCCAAATTACGATGAGGTTAATGCAGAAGGCTTACTGGTGTGTAACTTCTGAAGAAATCCAAACCTGATAATGATACCCTTTCCCCCAAATCCTGCAGCTCCTTCAGTGGAAAAGTCAAAGAAATAAAGGCAGAATGAGGTCAAAGGATTGTGGTGTCCTGGACAGTGTTCTCCACTCCTCAGAGCAGCTACTGGACTCCCTCTAGAGGGGACTGACAACTCTGGAGCATGCAAGTTACTGCAGTCCCACCAAGATACCTCACAGCATCGCCTTAACTTACCCAAACTGCATCTTGACTTGTTTTTGAAGGTGTTCCGTGTCACAGGGACATTTTAGGGAGCAGGATTGCGACCACAGAAAGCACATCTTTATTGGTATGACTGCAATCTGTTTGAAAAATACCAGTAAATTAAAAGTGCAGAGTAGGAACCCATGCTACTGGCAACAGATCAAAAAGGCCAGTTGTAATCTTGGATGCGGTTTGCTGTGGCAGAATTGGGCATTTGGAGTCTGTGTGAATTTTAAATCCATGTTGGAGGAAGTAAGCAGATTAGGCAGACTGCATGTCCCAGAGTTGATCCATAACATTCTCCCAGTGTGTTGGTAAACTGTATTGTCATATTGATGATCATCTTCAAAACTTCAGCTCTCTGGCACTATTTATGTTGACAGCAGTTTTTTCTTTTGCATGCACTGAAAGCAGTTGCGGAATTTGTGTGAGGAGTTGCACTGATAAGCAGTATTTTGAAATTATGCATTTCTTCTAAACTTGTCACAGCTGCCAAATAGACAGGTTTTTTGCTGAACTTGAGTTATATGCTTATTTTTGGTTTTGGTTTGTTTTTTCTTTTCCCTTTTGGGAGCCATATGTATCATATGCATTCTTTTCACAACAGCAGGGGTATTTTGAGGTCTTTTTTTGCCGTGATTTATTCAGTCCAAGCTCAGGATTGTTATTCTAGCCAGATAGCTAGCTAGAAAGAGCCATGCTTGGAAGTCTTCACAGAAGCTCCACTTTTCACTAGCAGTGCTACTGAGACTGTGATTGGATGAAATGGAGCTGACAGATGAAGGAATTGTTGTCCCAGCCTGCTCTTTCCTTGGCCTCTGCCTTTTCCCTTCTCCTCCTCCTCCAGATATACAGACGTGCTTTTGTATGTAGTTGCTTTCTGCTCTGGTTCTGCTAAAATGACCCATATTAGCCTAGAAGCAGTAATACTTAACTTGAGATTATTCTGACAGAACCAGGTTAAGTACTTGTGACACGTGAAATTATTCTGCAAGAGCTGGAAGGGTGGGAATGTGTAGCAAGGAGGAAGAGATGAACAGAGGATGGCTCATAGAAGGGGGATGCAGAGGTGAGCTTGGGATCTGTGACACAGATCAGACTGGTAGCAGTCTTGTGAGGGGAGTTCTCCTCTACAGTGGGTGATATTTGCAGGGATGTGACTGGAAAATACATATTTTGGGATCCTGTGAGTGACTGAATCATTAACTGTAAGGTTCTGGCTGGAACGTGCTCTGATGCTTTGCGAGCTTTTGCCTCATTAGGATCAAAAGCTCAACTTTCTTCAGCCAGTTTCAATTAGATGTGACCCCTGTAGTGGGATTCTTTGTGGCAATAGTTGATGTCACTCTGAGGTTAATGCAGGCCATAAGCTGAAGGCTGCTTTGCCTTTCCTGTGTTAGAGTAAATTGTGTTATGATTTGGGTGGAGCACCCACAGGTGAGTTTCCACTCACAGCATTGCTGTATGCCCCTGGCCTCACCAACAGTCTCTGAGGATTAATTTGCCAACCTTTGGAGACCTGTGCATCCTCAGAGTTACAGAAATATAGACACTTACTTTTGTTATGTAAACTAATATTTTAGAGCATTTGCTTTTTTTAAATGTAACTCATTATTTAACCAGTTTTCTTGAGAAGAAGGTTGTGTGTTTTTATTTTTTTTAAAGATAATTAGCTAATGAAAGTGCTTGGTATTTTATGAGTCAGATGCTAATGTGAATATTTCACAGTGGTATCCAGATAATCGGAGCACATGTTTCCTACAGGAAAGAGCCATGAATGATTGATGATTGCTTCATTGTTCAGCTTTCAGTTATTTTACCTAGGATTTTTCCTACTTATTCCATAGTCCAGTTTATTGTGAAACTGGTGCCACCCACAGCTGCTGAACAGATTTACAGCATCTAGTAAAATCCTAAGGTCTTCTAGACAGACCTCGATCTTGTTTCAAGTGGAAACATATTTTGGCTGAAGTCAATCCAGCTTATTTTACATCTGTTTGATGTAGTTAGCCTTTGAGACCAAAAATGATGTTGTACAGTCGAATCTTCACATTTTGGCTTCAGACTTGTTTTCATTAGTGGGTTGGGAGAGGAATAGGAGAGTGATTCTCCAGGTGTGGCTACATCATGCTATCTCATGGGTCTACTAATGTGATGTTTATACTTCTAAACCCAGTTGCCTGCAGCACTTCCTATGTGTTGCTTGTGTTGGCTGCTAAGTGTATTTTTCTAATTTTTCTATGGGTTTTACCCTTTCATCATTTATGGCTTGGAAAAAAACAGTGAGGCTGCATGCCCATATTACCTGATGCTGCATGCAAAAGGATGGTAACACACTGGAAAATGTTTTATATTGCTAGCAAAAACCCTTAAATTTTTTCTTGCTCCTGTGTTTTCAATATAGGAGACTGAGATTAGGGAGTCTTGAGTTAAACTCCTAACTGTTCTTGGGAGACCTTAGAGAAGTCAGTTGGGTTGGGCCTCATTTAACAAAATGGCCTTAATACTTTATTACATTATTGAGGTTTTGTAATTACTTATTTATCAACATGTATAAAGTATTTTGAGACCTAAAATGGATGATGCTTTC